GTGTGTGTGTGTGTGTGTGTACAGCTACAGTATTTGTCAAAAGCTAGAGATCTATCTATTTTACCCAATTTCAATAAACCACATACTAAAATTATAAAAAATAAAATTATATTGTTTTATTGGTAGCAGCAAATTAAATAGAAATAAAATGAATGGTAATTTCAAGAGTTTGATTTGGTACTTAGGCAGTAGTTTTCCACCAATAGAACGAATGTATGATGTCTTTTTAGATCTTTCAAAACACCAATTTCTTTGATTTTTTGCGGCCACAGTTTTTAACCTGATTTCAGGTTTTCTTTCACCACAATGACAAAACCACTTCTAGCTAAATTACAGATCGCAGGTTTTGGAAGCATGTTTACAATTTCAAGGCTTTGGAAAGCTAATGATTCTGCATTCAGGCATTATTTAATTAACTAGTCGAATGCTTTACGCAAGTGATCAGAGCAGTTAAGCCTTTGCTAATTTTTCACGTTTGTCTGGATCTCTTCTAATAGGTTATAAAAACTACAGTCTCAGTACAGGTCACAAGGTTAGTTAAATAATATTGTATACAGAGAACCTGAAATTAAATATCCAAGCTAATGATTATTTAGCACACAGAGGTGGTCCAAATTCAATTGAAGGAATATAAACATGGATTTCGCACTTAGCGATCTTCAAGTGTTACGAAGTGCTATATATCATAAATATGTTTGGGGGAATATTTTGTTTTGGTTGTAAAATGTTTAACTCATATATTCGTGTGTTTTTATTTTCCTTTCTAATCAGCACAGTTGAACGTATATTTATTCTTCTAAATTAATCAGCAGACAAACTGTTTAAGATGCTTAAAATATGTATGAAGCCCAATCTATTATCCGACTCACCACATGCCATTGAGTATAATAGTTTCGGGAAATTCTACTCCTCATCAATAACCTTGGGCAAGCGCAAATCAAATCACCATCATCATCGTGGCAGTTATTTGAATTTGAAGATATAGTAGCCTAGGAAATTAGACAATTTCTACTCACCTCGCTCAGAAAAAGTGATCAAAAGTACCAATACTAAGAATTTGTGGCTAGGATTGATGGATCTGATGCCAAAATGTTTGTTGTAGGGGGAAAATAGGAGTATCCCGAGAAAAACCTAATTTAATTGACCGGGCGCTGAATATTCTATCTGTCCAATGCCGAACTGAAACCTAAACTTGGCTTCTTTTAATAGAAGACTGTCCGTTAGTTCCGCTGTCCAGTACACAAATCCTTAGGTCACGCCTGGTCCCAAGAAAAAAGCTAAATAAAAGTATTCACAGGCAAATGATATATTACTGTATAAGCAATGAAGAGCTATAAAAATAATAATAAGAATATTGCACAAAATATTGTTTAAAAATGCTGAAAGTAAATATGAGATATGAAAACAAAACTAACGAATATTAATAAAAAACGCAGATTATCAAACAAAAATAAGGACTATTAGATAATGCTTTGCCATAAGTTATTTTAATGCTAGAATTAAGTTAACTTCATCCGCCACTACAAGCCTCAAGCCCGAGTATTCCCTGAACAC